CGCCTCCTGGGTTCAGGCAATTCTCCTGCCTCAGCCTCCTGAGTAGCTGGGATTACAGGCACGCGCCACCATGCCCAGCTAATTTTTTGTATTTTTAGTAGAGATGGGGTTTCACCATGCTGGCCAGGCTGGTCTCAAACTCCTCACAGGTGACATACCTGCCTCAGCCTCCCAAAGTGCTGGGTTTACAGGCATGAGCCACCACGCCCGGCCTTATCTTTGAATTTATATGGCATCATTATATCTATTATTTATTTAGCAATGTCATGTGCTGTCACAGTATCTCTTCTGTGATTTGAACCTCCATGTTGTTATGTAAATTCTGCATTAATGTTTTATGTTTTTTTGGTCACCCCAACTACTTCCATGTCTATAGCACCTGTATTTCTCCTTTGATAAGTCATACTTTTAATTACTTGTCCAATCTCTGTCTTTCTACTAAAATGTTAAGTTTCAAAAGGGCAGGAACCATTACTGTCTAATTTCCAAAATATCAGCAGAACCTAGCACAAAGCATTCAATGAATGATGGTATATTGCTAACTGACTGATTGTGATCCTGAAATCACTTATCTCAGCAAAGGCAGACTCATCAAAACATGTCACTCGAGGTATTTGAGGAACTCAGTGAAATTCAATGTAGATGGAATAGAGAATGAAAGGAATGAAAGAACTGATGAAAAGAAGCTGGAGAAGTAAAAGCAAGATCATGCAGGGCTTCGTGTGTTAAATCTTTGAGTGTGGATACCATAGAGCAGGGGTTGGCAAACTTTTTATTTATAGGACCTGACAGTATACATTTTAGGCTTTGCAGGCCACATATATTATCTGTTGCATAGTCTTCTCTCTCTGTGTATATGTTTGTTGTTTTTAAAAAACCCTTTAAAAATGTAAAAACTATTTAATTATTGGGCTGTACAAAAACAAGCCAGTCAGCCAACATCTGTGACATAAAGCAATGGAGAAGCTACCATAGAGTTTAAAACAGGGAGGTGATACAACTGTAACTGCATTTGAGTAACATAACTCTAGTTTGAGTTTGGAGGGCAGATTTACAGGAGTCAAGACTAGAGATGAGATCATTTAGGAGGCTGTGTAGTAATCCAGGAACAGAGGGGAGTGAAGAAAAGTAATCAGATTCAAAAGATATTTAGGAGACACAATAAATTAACAGGGGTGGGAAAGAGAGGAGAGTCACAAACAATTTTCAGATTTCTGGGTCAGTAATGGGGAGATGGTAGTACTATTTACTGGGATAGAAACACAAGTAAAGGAACAGCTATGGAGAGAAGATAATGAATTCAGTAGCTATCTAATAAGCAACTGGGAATATATAAATGAAGCTAAAGAGAGATAATTGGACTAGACATTAAGATATGGAATCACCTTCATGTTGGAGAGATGGAAAAAAAAAAAAGGACATGGGAATCACCAAGATGATGGAGAGAGAAGAAAGTACAGAATAGGGCCTAAGATAAAATTCTGAGGAATATGAAAATTTGAGAATATGCAAAATAGAATAGAAGGAAGAAATGGAGGTGAGGAAACCAGCCTTTAAAAGGCAATTAAGAAAATTAAAAATGGCCTATTCCTTTAGTAACTACCCTTATAAAAATTTACCCTACAGGGTGTGGTGGCTCACTCCTGTAATCCCAGCATTTGGGGAGGCCAACACAGATCACGACGTCAGGAGTTCGAGACCAGCCTGACCAACATGGTGAAACCCCATTTCTACTGAAAATACAAAAATTAGCTGCACGTGGTGGCATGCGCTTATAATCCCAGCTACTCAGGAGGCTGAGACAGGAGAACTGCTTGAACCCAGGAGGTGGAGGTTGCAGTGAGCCAAGATCATGCCACTGCACTCCAGCCTGGGCAACAGAGCAAGACTCTGTCTCAAAAAAAANAAAAAAAAAAAAAAAAAAAGTTCACTAAAGCATTGAGTATAACAGTAAAAAAAAGAAAAGCAAATATCTACCAATAAGGCAATAATGACATAAATCATGGAATGCTATACAACCAATATAAACAATGATATAAATTTATTAACATGTAGAAGACATATATATAGACGGAATAATTCCCATTTGTTTTAAGAACGTAGATAGATATGTATACATATATTTATACACACAGGATAATTTTTCTGGAAAGATATACACCAAAATATTAGCAGTGACTATCTGAGGATTGAGCTAGAGGAGAAGAAAATTCGAAATTATTTTAACCTTGGCCAGGCGTCATGGCTCACGCCTGTAATCCCAGCACTTTGGGAGGCCGAGGCGGGCAGATTCACAAGGTCAGGAGATCGAGACCATCCTGGCCAACATGGTGAAATTCCGTATCAAAAAAAAAAAAAAGAAAAATTATTTTAACCTCATACAATCTGGTACTTACTTTTTGTTATAATATACTTCTAAAATAACCTTAACATCAGATTAAAATATTTTTCTAAATTACTCATGGTACAGGTAAGAAATTAAGGCAGCACACACTAGAACAGAAGTAGTGGGAACAAAGAGTATAGAAAGAACTTGGGGGGAAAAATGCTGGGGGCAAGAAAGAAGGAAAACTGGAGGAAATTCAGATTTCAAAGCTGAGTGAATGAAAAACTGCACAGAACAGGGTGGTGCCATGTGAACAAAACATCAGCTGTAGAGTCAAAAAGGCCTGGATTCAAAAGCAAACATAATCTTAAAGGTAAATTCTTCAAACTCTTGGAGTCTGTTTTCTCATTTATAAAGCACTAATAATTTTATTTCTCCTGCAGAATTGTTGTAAGGTTTCAAGATAAGGTTTACAAAGGGTTTCACTGTGCCTAACACATAGAAGATGCTCACTGGTCACTATTCTTTTTTTTTTTTTTTTTTTTAATGAACGAGAGGTTCTTATGTTGCCCAGGTTGGCCTTGAACGCATAGCGTCGCCTCCTCAAGCACCAGGACAACTGGCCTGAGCCACTGCAGCTCCTCACTATTCTTATTCGAATTAATCATAATAGTAAGTGCTAAGAGACAGATTCTTCCATTTCCCAGAATCTTTGAAAGCCCAATTGATTAACTTTAGATTCTATGCAGACAATATGGAGCTAATCCAACATTAACATTTACTATATGCCCAGAGATACGTGGGAGAAGGACTGTTCATTTCTTACCCAAGAGCTGCACTGAATGGCCAGCCTAAGATGGCCCCAGCTGCTACTCCCAGCACAGCAATGGAAGTCTTTTCCATATACCATCCAGTCATGGCTATCAACGTAGTGTACATACAGAAGCTACTAGGAAGGAATGCTGCAAGAGCGAAGAAGTGAAAAAAGGCGGAAGAACAAGAACTCAAGGTTAATTAGGTATCAATTAAAAACTGATTAAATGTAAATTTTGCAGTGTAAATATCGACATGGCAAATTGTCAATAACCAGGAACATATTTTGGGAAATGCTATATTAGAAAGGACAGCACAGTGATATTCCTTTTAAAAAAAAAGAAAGTTCAGTGATTCTTAATTTCTCACTCCTGTTTTTTTTTTTTTTTTTTTTTTTTTTGAATTGATAGATATTGTCTTCAGCTGTAGGCTTCATCTTCAACATGGTCTCCTCTCTTTTTTTTTTTTTTTTTCTTTGTTTTTGGGATGGAGTCTCGCTCTGTTGGAGTGCGGTGGTGCGATTTCAGCTCACCGCAACCTCTGACTCCCTGGTTCTAGAGATGTTCCTGCCTCAGCCTCCTAAGTAGCTGGGATTACAGGTGTCCACCACCACTCCCAGCTAAATTTTGTATTTTTAGTAGACACAGCATTTCACCATGTTGGCCAGGATGGTCTTGATCTCCTGACCTCATGATCCACCCGCCTTGGCCTCCCAAAGTGCTGGGATTACAGGCATGAGCCACTATGCTCGGCCTCCCACTCCTGTTTTTTTAGGTACCAACCCAATTATACAATTCTAACCATGTAATTCCTCTCCCAGCCTATACCTCAAATAAAAAACTTACATAATTCCAGGGGCTCTAGGAACACCCCAGGATTATATTTCCAGGCAGGGAATATGCTTTAAAAGACTTAGAGGCACTGCTGACAATTTACTTCTGAAGAAGCTTATCTGCTGTTGGTCTTCTGAGACTGTCCTGGTCCTAACCTCTAGTCTCAGAAATTCTAGGAGGCCTCCTCAAGGGCCACATATTGTATGGCAGCAATGCTTTGCATCCTCCATCTGCTGACACAGATAGTATGGCCTTTAGATAGTCCCCTAATTAGTTCCATCTACCTCAACCTTGTTGAATATAGCAGAGGAGAGAGTACAGGGTCTCTGCAACAATAACAATTGATTAAAGTGTTTCTAGTATCTCTGAACAGAAATGCAGATCTGCCTCTTTGCTGCAGAAAGTCTGATTCAGTAAGGAAGAAAAATCAGTATCAGCTACAAAAACAACCACAGTTAATGGGCAGTGAGATTTTTTTAAACTCAGCACAGGGTTCAGAGTCTCTGTATGAAAAGATGCTTTCAACTTATCTGTGTCTCAAATTAGATTACAAAAACAAAGATACCCTCAGGAATTGTCTACATATAAAGATCAATTGTAGGAGCAGCAGACCAGGCACGGTGGCTCATGTCTTTAATCTCAGTACTCTGGGGGGCCAAGGTGGGAGGACTGCTTGAGGCTAAGAGTTTGAGACCAGCCTGGGCAACACAGTGAGACTCCATCTCTACAAAAAATTTAAAAACTAGCTGGGCATGGTGGTGCATGCCCATAGTCCTAGCTACTTGGGAGGTTGTAGTGGAAAGACTGCTAGAGCCCAGGAATTCAAGGCTGCAGTGAGCTATGATTGTGCACTGCACTCCAGCCTGCCTAGGTAAAGAGTAAGACCTTGTCACTTGAAAAGATTTTTAAAAAGAAGTAGCAAAGCAACTTAAAAAACATGTGAGGTACACCCTTTACCAATAAATGTCAAATAATAGTGATGCCATCCAAAGCTGTCAGTTCCAGCTGCCAGTGTAGAGGACAAAGGGAGCAGAGAAACCTGAGGGTAGAGCCAGATGCATTTAGGACAGGCTCTCAAAGTCATTCTGGAGTACAGCTCTGACATCTCTGCAAAACAACATCAATTTTGATATATTTAATAAGGGAAAAGTAAGTATATAATTTTGTGCCACATACTATGTTTTTGTGTATACTCAGTGTATATGCTAGATCCTGTTACACTCAAGCAGAAACTAAAATTGAGACAATTATATCCAGTAACTAAATTTTTCTGGAGAACTGGGAACAGACTACCATTTGGCAGTGGGGCACCATGACTCAGCTTATACAACACAAATGTTCAATGGCAGTACAGTTTGAAAATCAATGCTCTAGAGTAAGGTTTTTATTCTAAATTTCCAGAAGCTTATCTTTTAAAAAGCCCAATGGAAGATGCATATAGAATACATCTCAAATAATATATCATCAATAGAAACAGAGCCATCAACAACAACAAGGTCTTTATGTACAAATAGCTTCCTTAAACAAAATAAAAGAATTACTTTCTTTCCCCTAATGGTCAAGAAAGGAAGTGGGTGGTTGATACAAAAATGTAATATAAAGCATCCTGGTGAGACTATCAGCTTTACCATTTATGAATTTTGACTTTTAGTAAATCATTTTACCTATGTTTCAATGTCCTTACCAGCAAAAGTGAGAAAATATTTGTCTTACATGGTAGGATTGCTACAAAGGTCAATCAAGATAACGCAGATAACAGTGCTCTGCAAATTATTGACATATTCTACAATATAACCTACATTTGAACAAGTGTTTCCTTTAAATGCAACTATGAACTATTGGTGGCCGAGGGCGGTGGCTCACGCCTGTAATCCCACCACTTTGGGAGGCCGAGGTGGGTGGGTCATGAGGTCAGGAGATCAAGACCATTCTGGCCAACATGGTGAAACCCCATCTCTACTAAAAATACAAAAAACTAGCTGAGCATGGTGGCGCATGCCTGTAGTCCCAGCTACTCGGGAGGCTGGGCAGGAGAATTGTTTGAACCTGGGAGGCGGAGGCTGCAGTGAGCCAAGATTGCACCACTGCACTCTAGCCTAGTGACAGAGCAAGTCTCTGTCTCAAAACAAAAACAAAAACAAAAAAAAACTATTGGTGAATCTGCAATTCCCTCATCTGCCCTTTTACTTACCTGATGATGAGCAAAACATGCCAGTGCTAAGAACCAAGAAGGCTAGCATCATTCGACTCACATGCAACCCAAACTTCTTGCATACAGCCCTAGGAAAAAGGCAAAGATTATTAGCATGAATTCAAATCAAAGGAGAAAAACATGCACCACAGGTAACACTGAAGATCTAAAGTCAAACACAAAACTACCTTGATACGTTTGTTAGCAATTCACTGTGCATAAGAAACCCAAACATTCTTATTTCTGACACAGAAGAGAAGCTCCCTACCTAAAAGAAAACATATTTTTTACATGCTAAGATTATATCTATCAAGTGGAAAACAGAATGATGTCATGAAAAATAAGAGATGGCAGATTCAGGTGGGCACACGTTCAAATTCTGGCTCTGCCACTTACTAGCAGTGGAACCTTACTCTAGTCGAATAATGTTTGATTCCTCATGCATGAAATAAGGATAATAAGTAACACAAACTTCGTAAGGTTTCTGTGAGGACAATGCATGGAAAGTGCTTAGGAAAGTACCTGGCACACAGTTGCTCAATAAATGGTAGTTGTCAGAAAAAAAGGCTAGGAGATAAATGAAAATGTGAATAAGTGATTATCTAAATCAGTGTTTGTCAAACTTAAGCAACTACATATCTTCTACTTCTTTCTTGTAGGTGTTAACCCCTCAAATTAAACATATTTAGGCATTATTACTGCTTCACTTAGTCAATGTTTGTTCAGACATATCCATGTGTTAATCATTTCCTAGCTCAGATTCCTTACTGCATTTCAGAGCTTCTTCTGAAATAATTTTGTTTTTTCCTAAGTATCTCTTTTAGAAGTTCTTTTAGTGAGAATCTGTTAATGATAAATTCTGGTTTTTTGGTTGGTTGGTTTCCTTTCTTTTTTTTTCCTTTCTTTTTTTCTTTTCCCAGAGACAGGGTCTCACTCTCTGTCGCTCAGGCTGGAGTGCCGTGGCATGGTCATAGCTCACTGCATCCTTGAACTCCAGTGTTCAAGAGAATCTCCTGCCTTAGCCACCTGTGGCTAAGCGTAACTGTGACTACAGGCATGTGCCATTACACCCAGCTAATTTTTTGTAGAGATGAGGTCTTGCTATGTTGTCCAGGCTGATCTTAAATTCCTGGGCTCAAGCGATCCTCAATGATCCTCCTGCCTCAGTCTCCCAAAGCACTGGGATTACAGGCTTCTTTCTTTTTTTTTTCTTTCTCTCTCTTCTATTTTTTTTTTTTTTTAACTGAAAAGTCTATTTAGCTCTTGGTCTTAAAAGATGGCTTAACCTAGTATACAATTTTAAGATAAGAGTTATTTTCTCTCAGCCTTTGAAGATACTCTTTTTTTGTTTTCTGGTTATTAAAGTCTTCTGTCAGTGTAACTGCCTAATACTCCTCTGTAGGTATTTTATTAGTTCTCCATCAACTTTTAAAATCTTTTTCTTTGTCCCTATTGTTTTACACAGTTTCACTACACTAAGTTTTTATGTATCTAGCTTGGAATATATTGGGCTTACTAAATTTATGATTTAGCATCTTTTTTTCCCCATCAATTCTGGAAAATTCCCAGCTATTAATTCCCTGAATATTGCCTCTCCCTATTCTATCATCTCCTTCTACAATCTTATTAGATGTGTATCAGATCTTTAAACTCTGGCTTACATATTTCTTTGTGTGTGTATGTGTGTGTGTGTCTGTGTGTGTCTGTGTGTGTGTGTCAGAGTCTTGCTCTGTTGCCCAGGCTGGAGCGCAATAGCGCAGTCTTGGCTCACTGCAACTTCCATCTCTTTGAGTTCAAAAGATTCTCGTGCCTCCACTACCCAAGTAGCTGGGGCTATAGGTGTGCACCAACATGCCCAGGCAATTTTTTTATTTTTAGCAGAGATGAGGTTTCACCATGTTGGCCAGGTTGGTCTTGACCTCCTGACCTCAAGTGATCCACTTGCCTCGGCCTTCCAAAGTGCTGAGATTATAGGCATAAGCCACTGCGCTCAGCCGTAGCTCACACATTTCTTAACCTCTTCTATATTACCTTTTTTTTTTTGGTCTCTCTGTACTGCATTTTGAGTAATTTATTCAAATCGATCTTCCAATTTACTAGTTTACTCATCAGAATGTCTAATCTGCTGTTTAAGCTATCTACTGAGTTTTAAATAACAATTTTACATAAATATTGATATTACATAGTATTACATATTATATAATTCTTGTAAGTTCTGATTTTTTTTAAATTTATCTGGTCATCTCATTTCTTGTTCACATTTTCAGTTCTTTTACTTGTTTGAAAATACTAAATACACCTATTTTATGTTCCTATTTCCCAATATATGAAGTTTTCAGGTCAACGTTCTATTGATTATTATTTCTGCTGATTCTCACTCATAATGTCTTGCTCCCTTCTGTGCTCTGTGATTTATTTTTATTATAATTTCTTGTTCACTAGAACTTTATCTCCGGTAATTTTCAAACACTTGGATTAAGGGTCCATATCTCTAGATAAATATTTTGCCAGATGCCAGGGGCACTACCAACCCAGAATAATTTAAAATAAATTCTTGGCTGGGCGCAGTGGCTATGCCTGTAATCCCAGCAATTTGGGTGGCTGAGGCGGGCAAATCACAAGGTCAGAAGATCAAAAACAGCCTGGCTAACATGGTGAAACCCTGTCTCTACTAAAAATACAAAAAATTAGCTGGGTGTGGTGGTGCGCACCTGTATTCCCAGCTACTTAGGAGGCTGAGACAGGAGAACTCCTTGAATCTGGGAGGCAGAGGTTACAGTGAGCCGAGATCACACCACTGCACTCCAGTCTGGGTGACAGAACAAGACTCTGTCTCAAATAAACAAACAAACTTCTCAGCTTAGGGCTTGAAGGACCATGCAGGTGATTTGAATTCAGGCCCAAACCCCTATGTTATGATTACAATCCTCAAAGGCAGCACTGGCTTTATTTTTTTTTCCTCCACTCCACTCATAGTCAAGGCCAAAGATTTTTTTTAATCTGACATTTTTAGCTGTAGGAAGATTTTTAATAATGATCATTAAGTCAGAATACCTTTAAATATATTACTAAAGCATTATTAAAATAAGACATTTGTTAGATACAATGAAAAACAGGTGGCTATTTTTATTACTGGGACACTTAAATGCTTAATAGTTCCAACTAATATTCAATCAACTGATAGGTACTTTGTGAAAGACAATATATGGGGTGCAAATAAGAGCAGTGAGTCCCACGCTGGGAGAAGTTTATCAACCAAGCTGTAGGGCAGAGGCAAATCATGATCCTACATCTTAGGACTGAAAATAGGGTGCAACTAAATCCTATCAAGTAAAGACCAGTTAGATACTTATTAACAGAATTAAAATGAATGATATGAGGATATGGTATTTATGAACCTCAGGAAAGAAAAAGGTAACTAGAAGTACAGTGTTCCTCTTCAACTGTTGGCTTCATACAAGAAGTCACACTTCAGATTTAATATCAGGAGCTACAAGTGATGGGTGCATCAAAATCTCAGAAATCACCTCTAAAGAACTTATCATGTAACCAAAAACCACCTGTATCCCAAAAACTATTGTAAGAAAAATAAAAATTAAAAAAGTAAAAAGAGAAAAATAAATAAAAGTAAGAAGTTTTTAGTCTAGCCCTGCTGACCCACAACCCACCAACCCACAAATCAGTCCGGCCCTCAAGTGTACCACGTCTGGCTCCTCCAGCGTAACCGCTATGAAGAAAGTGGTTCAGGCTGGGTGTGGTGGCTCATGCTTGTAATCCCAGCACTTTGGGAGGCTGAAGCAGGCAGATCACGAGGTCAGGAGTTCGAGACCAGCCTGACCAACACAGTAAAACCCCATCTCTACTAAAAATACAAAAAAAAAAAAAAAAAAAATTTGCTGGGCATAGTGGCAGGAGCCTGTAATCCCAGCTACTCGGGAGGCTGAGGCAGGAGAATTGTTTGAACCTGGGAGGCAGGACTTACAGTAAGCCAAGATCATGCCACTGCACTTCAGCCTGGGTGACAGGGCTAGACTCTGTCTCAAAAACAAAGAAAAAAAGTAAAGAAAGTGGTTCAACAGCTCCGGCTGGAGGCCAGGCTCAACTGTGTAAAAGTTTCCCAGGCAGCTGCAGACTTGAAACAATTCTGTCTGCAGAATGTTCAACATGACCCTCTGCTGACTGGAGTACCTTCAAGTACAACTCCCTTAAGACCCCAGAAAGTCTGTTCCTTTTTGTATTAAAATGAATCTTTCAAAGGTTTTCCAAACCACTTCTTAGGATTCAGTAGATATTCAAAACAGTTAAATCTGAAGCCTGTACAAAGGCTTATCCCTGTAACACACGTGCCATAATATACAAACTTCTACTTTTGTCAGTCTAACATCTACTTCTCTCAATTTTCATGAATTTCTATCTATTTCACAAGGGTAACTTTTATATACGCTACCAGCAGCATACAATAAAACTTAGTATGGAAAAAAAGAAATTTTCTTTCCCAGATTAAAAAAAAAATATGTATAGTAGTATATCAGGGGCTAGAAGGAAAGTGTTTTCTATTTCTAATCACTGCCTAGACTATCACAAGAGATAATCTACGCAATAACGGGTTTCCTCATAGCACTTTTAGAAGCAAAACTTTTATACTCACTTGTAAAAGTAAAGTTCACAAATACAGCTCACAAAAGCCAGAAGACATCGCAAAAAGTAAAAGACAAGAATCTGAAAGAAATCCAGAAAAAGAAAACAGAAGTCACAGATATGAGCTAGAAAAACTCATAAACATGAACTGCTCTCATTTGTTGTCAATAACACTGTAAACTACTATAATTCTTTTGGAAAACAATATGGATCAAGAATTTTCATATCCCTTGACTCAATATCAGTATACCTACTTCTAACACTCCAGCTGGTGGAGGTTGGAAGGTGGAGCGCCATTCATGAAAATGTTAATTGCAGTTTTAGTAAAAACTGTTTTAAAAACTACAAAATATCCAATTATAGAGAAATGATTAAATAAACTAGGCTACATCTAGCACATGGACAACTATACAAAGACAGTGAAAACATTCTTGCAATATAATGCTCATTCATTCAACAAGCACTTCTTCAACAACCATAATATATCAGGTACTGATTATGACAAAATATTAAGTGAAAATGTACAATTCAATATTATTTATACATCAGTTACAGCTATGGAAACTATATGCATATGGAAAGACTGAATAAATGTAATAAAATGGTAAAAGTAGCCATAGCAACCTGGTAGATTTAGGTTGAGTATTTTTCCTCCTATCTTCTAAAGTTTTATGATGTGGTTTTATTAATTTTATAGTTGACAGCATCAATTTAAAAAATAAAAATAATAAAATAGGGGTTAGATTGAATAGCTTTATACTACAGAATACCATATGTTTCAGAGCACTGAATTTCTCAGAAAATAAACACTACTTAATATATAGTATGACTGGCCAGGTACAGTGGCTCAAGCCTGTAATCCCAACACTTTGGGAGGCCAAGGAGGGTAGATCACCTGAGGTCAGAAGTTCGAGACCAGCCTGGCCAACATGGCAAAACCCCATCTCTACCAAAAATACAAAAAAATCAGCTGGGCCTGGTAGCAGGCCTCTGTAATCCCAGCTACTTCGGAGGCTGAGGCAAGAGAATCGCTTGAACCTGGGAGTTGGAGGTTGCAATGAGCTGAGATCACACCACCACACTCCAGCCTGGATGACAGAGCAAGGACTCCGTCTCAAAAAAAAAAAAAAAAAAAAAGAATATATATATATACACATACATACATATATGGTATGATTACTGTAGCTGCATATCACATGAAAAATACCTTCCATTTTCATGATTATAAGCAATAAATTTTTTAAAACTTGTATAAAGTATCCTGTAAATGCCCAAACTCATTCATTAATTCAATACAAATATACTAAAAGCCTACTTACTATACACTGAGCAGTATTTTAGATACTATTAGGAACATAGATAATTTTAGTACAAAGTTTATACATTTAAGGACACCTCATCTAATTGGAGAGAATACATACACATATTTAGAAAGTTAAAATTTAATATGAATTAATATAAGAATTCTGTTTGAGAGCAGGACAAACACCACCATCCCTACTAATATTCAACTGGAAGTTCTAGTCAGAGCACAATGACACAAAAATAAAATGAGGTAACAAAATGGAAGAAACTAATCTTAATATACAAAGATGAAAGAGAACCCACAAGCTTCACCTGACAAACCATTGACACTAATGAGAAAATTCAGCAAGACATTCGGTATTAAGATAAAAATAAAAGAAAACAAGATACCATTTATGATCACAACAAAAATGCAAAGAATCTAGGCATTAACCTATCAGACTTCACAAGACTGAAATGAATACTTAAAAAAAAATTATCACCTCTTGGCCTTTAGGTAAGATCAAGTGTAAAAAAATTTATTAAAAGACAGAAAACTTGACTAAATGGATAAATATATCATTTTAGGGATAGAATGACTTAACACTGTAAAAGTGTTAATTCTGCTAAGTGCAGTGACACTCGCCTGTAATCCCAACGCTTTGGGAGGCTGAGGCAAGGGGTTTTGCTTGAGGCCAGGAATTCAAGACCAGCATGCACAATATAGTAAGACTCCAAGTCTATAAAAAATTTAACATTAGCTGGATGTGGTGGCATGTGTCTGTGGTCCTAGCTACTCATGAGGCTAAGGCGGGAGGATCCCTTGAGCCCAGGAGTCTGAGACCACAGTAGGTTATTACCACACCACTGCAATCCAGCCTGGGCAAAAGAGCAAGGCCCTGTCTCAAAAAATAAAATAAAGTCAAATAAAAGTGTTCATTCTCAAAATAATATGTAAATTCAGTACAACTCTAATCAAAACCTAGCAAAATTTGGGTGAAGGGCAAACTGATTCTAAGATGATTTTTAAAATACAAATTTTAAAAAGGATAAAGTGAGAAATTCATCCACCAGATACTGACATACATTACAAAGCCATGATAATAAAAGCAATATGGCAGTAAACTGACCAATGACAAAGAATAAAGACAATAGAAAGAACCCATATACATACAGGAATGAGGTGTATGATAGAGGTGGTATTACAAATGAGAAGGAAAAAGGTGGGTTATCTGGCAGATGGTGCTAGAAAATCCAGTTCACCACATAGTAAAAAATAAAGCTGGATCTTTCCACAATTTATAAAATAAACTTCGAATAATTAAAGCCTTACATGTAAAAGATAAAATTAAAAGCTAATTGAATATAAGCATTTTGGGAGGCTAAGGCTGGTGGATCATCTGAGGTCAGGAGTTCGATACCAGCCTGGCTAACATGGCAAAACTCCTTCCCTACTAAAAATACAAAAATTAGCTGGGCACAGTGGCACATGCCTGGAGTTCCAGCTACTCAGGAGGCTGATGCAGGAGAATTGCTTGAACCTGGGAGGAGGAGGTTGCAGTGAGCCAAGATTGTACCACTGCACCCCAGCATGGGTGACAGAGTGAGACTCCATCTCAAAAAAAGAAAAAAAAAGCTAATAAGCTAATTGAAGAAAATATAGAAGAATATCTCTATGACCTGTGGTGAAGGAGGATTTCTTTTAGAAAGACCCCAAACTCACCAAACACAAGAGGAAAATAGATTGGTTTGACCATATTGAATTAAAGATTACTGTTCAACAAAGGACCACAGACAAAGTTAATAGAGAGGTAACAGTGTAAGAGAAAATATATACAATATCTATAACCTATAGGGGGTTACTAATGAGAACGTCTACAAATTGGAAGAACGAAATAGAAAACCCAACAGAAAAATAGACAAAGGATATGAATGCGTAATTCACAGAAAGGAAGCTCTAAATGAGTAATAAATATATGAAGAAATGCTCCACTTTACTAGTTATCAGAGAAATTCAATTAAAATGAGAAGCATTTCACATACATGAGGAAGTCAGAAACATCAAAGACTCAGGAGATGTGAGGAAGATGGAAACTGGAGTACTGCTGCAGGGAGCATAAAAGCTGTATAGCCATCTGGAAAGCAATCTGGCAGAAATGTGAGATTCAGTAAGCCCATGGGTCTATGTGTGGGATCTCACTTCTGAGTGTATACTACAGAGAAATTCACAAACAGGTCCAGGAAGAGAAATTACAAAGGCGCTTTCATTTGGGGTAGCAAGAGATTGAGAAGGTAGCTATCATTAGAGGTGCCAATTGTTACCACACTGTCTCTCAGAAACAACCATTCTTCTCTACTCAGCGTTATGATGCTGGGGCTGTGACTCGCTAAGCTACAATTCCCCTTTGCCAGGTGGCTAGGAAAAAGGAGATCAGAAGTAAGAACAATAGAAGAGAAATCTTGCTTTCCTTTTCACTTGCTGTGTACAACAGTGACGTAAGAGGATTAGAGAAAAGGAAGAATTCTGTGTTGAACATGTAAAATTTGAAGTGATAGCAGATGTCCAAGTGGAAATAAAAATCCTCTGCATAGCATATTGTTAGTTTTCTACTGAGTCCTTCACCTTTTATTATCTTTCCTTTGACAAGTTAAAAAAAAAAAAAAAAGAAATGAGGCCAGGTGCAGTGGCTCACACCTATAATCCCAGCACTCTGGGAGGCCAAGGCAGGCGGACCACTTGAGGTCAGAAGTTCAAGACCAGACTGGCCAACATGGTGAAACCCTGTCTCTATTAAAAATACAAAAAAAAAAATTAGCCAAGTGTGGTGGCTCATGCTTGTAATCCCAACTACTCAGGAAGCTGAGGCATGGGAATTGCTTGAACCTGAGAGGCAGAGGTTGCAGTAAGCTATGATGGCACCACTGTACTCTAGCCTGGGCAACAGAGCAGGACTTCATCTCATTTGAAAAAAAAAAAAACAGAAATGAGATACTAGATAGGGAAGGGAGGGACAGTATTTCTGTCATTTTCTGCAGGTGCTACCTTTCTGATCATTCTAAAATGCAAATGCAATCATACCTCTTTTGTCTAAAACCTTTCAGTGGCTTCACACAATAGACTTGGGGGGAAAAGAACAACAGTCTAATATCTTAATAGATCCTACCAGGTCTTGTAGAAATCTGGCATCTTCTTAATTCTCAGTCTCATCTAAACTATTCCACCACGCCCTCTCTTTCAAGTGTCAAACCTGTTTATATAATAAGGCCATGCCATCCTTCTTCCCATCCTCAGGGCCATCAGTCTAGAAGACTGTTCTCAACTTTCTCCCTCATTCCCACTGTTCCTTTACCTAGACGACTCCTGCTTATCCTTCAGTTCTCTAATTAGGGACTTCTTCATGGAAAATGGACTTTTCTTCTATTCATGGACACTATATTTTAAACAACTTTAAAAACCACCGAAAACTCTGGACAATATATTTAAACCAACCTAAGAAGACTCTGAAGGTGGAGAGAAGAAAGCAGGCTGGCTACAGAATTTGGGACATGAGGAACAACACAGTGGTAAATTCCATGGGTTTTCTTTTTGCTTGGCGTATTCTAGGCATGAAGCTAAAGAAGCTGGCAAGTGAAAATGCCAATGGGCACAGAAAACAAAAATACCCCAACCAAGATCGGCTCTGTAGCCAAAGGACCAAGAAAAGGATAGCCTAGCATGATGAAAAAACCTTTAGACAATAACTACTCTAGTCAGGACAAATACCCACTCCCACCCATGCATCAGAGGTCAGTTAGGAAGCCAGGACTTTCATCTCCACTGATAGTAATGAGTCTCTCCCCCATCATGATGTCAGTGGCAACCACTTAGGGAGGCTGGACTTCCACACCCAACTCCAATCTGTCAAGATGCTTCTATTCTACCTGTGGCGTAGTATCAGTGGAGGCCTACTAGGAAGCAAGACCTCCAATTCTTGCCCAGCAATAGCAAAAAAAGACCCCCTTCCTCAGATGTCAGTGGAGGCATGGTAGGGAACCTGAAGTTCTACCTCCACTTGGTGGTAGCAAGGTAGAGGCTTCCCACTAACGCTCTCTCCCTGCTGGGTTAGTGGAAAGTAGTATCAAAAGAAGCCAGCTAAAACAGAAGGCTTAAATAAGATCCAAGGGAGCACAACAGTGCAAAGAAAGCATGCTGAGCCCATGAATAATCCAGAATCTTATAATGCAATACCTTAAATGTCCATACTAAGAACCAGGAAGATCTCAAACTGAATGAAAAAAGTCCATTGATAGATTCCAATACCAAGATGACAGAGATGTTAGAATTATCTAACAAAATTTAAAGCAGACTTTGTAAAAATATTTCAGTGAATAATTAAGAATATGCTTGAAGCAAATGAAAAAGCAGAAAGTCTCTGTAAAAAAAATTAGAAGATATAAAGAAAAACCAAATGGAAATTTTAAAATTGAAACTATACATAGAACAAACTAAAAATGCAATGGATGGGCTCAACATTGGAAGAGGAGACAGAGGAAAGAATCTGCGAAGTGGAAGATAGAAGAACAGAAGTTACTCAATGTGAACAACAGAGAGAAATTAAATTGAAAACACAGTCTCAGGAACCTGGGTGACTAATAACAAAAGATCTGACATTCACATTGTCAAAGTTCCAGGGAAAAGGAAAAAGGACAGGGATGAAAAAGTATTCAAAAAAATAAAACTAAAACCTTTCCAAATTTGGCAAAAGGAATAAGCCTAAAGATTCAAGAAGCTGAATAAACTCCAAACAAGACAAACCAAAGAAATCCACACCGAGACACATCATAATCAAATTTCTGAAAACTAATCAGGTTAGTTAGGTCCCAGTTAACACCTAATTATTTCTCAGCACTCTACTTAAATTAGACACTCCTAATACGATATTCCATTGCACACTGTACTTTTCCTGCATAAGACCTACCATATTTAGAATGACTTGTTCAATGTTCATCTTCTCCACTAAACCACAAGTTTCATTAAGTCAGGGACTTGGTTACCATTATAGCCACAGCACTTAATACAGTATCTACCAAATAAAAGCAGTTCCATTAATGCTTATTGAATGATGAATGAATAAATGATTCTTCTTCAAAAAAAGTTCCCTTTTAACTACCAATCTATTTTGTCCTTTTCTCAAAACTATACTAGAGACTCACCTCTTAATCAATCGTGACTTCTTTCAGATAGGTCTGTCCTTACCTTATTAGTTTGTAGAATTCTTGCATGAAATGCAGCTGGCCAGGCATGAAGTAACAGATAAGCATAGGAGCGAATGGCATATGCTGGGGAATATTCCCAAGTCTGAAACCCCTCCCCGTAGATGAGGTAGTGTGTCTAAAAATACAAAACAGACAGATTCAGGGTTATACTGGCCAAAAATCTCTGGTAAGCACATGCAAGTTTCTGAGTAGAAATATTAAAGACAAAGGTAGGCCAGGCAGAGTGGCTCACGCTGATAATCCTAGCACTTTGGGAGGGCAAGGCAGGCAGGCTGCTTGAGCCCAGGAATTGAAGACCAGCCTGTGCAACATAGCAAAACTCCATCTCTACAAAAAAACACAAAAATTAGCATGGTATGGTGGTGCATGTCTATAGTCCCAACTACTAGGGAGGCTGAGGCAGGAGAATTACTTGAGCCCCAGAGGCAGAGGTTGCAGCGAACCCAGATCATGCCATTGCACTCCAGCCTGGGCGATGGACCAAGACTCTGTCTCAAAATAAAAAAAATTTTTAAGAGACAAAGGTACACAGTAATGCTAACATTCTCAACAAGATTTGCAACTGATGGATAAAAAAGGAATCAAAATGACCCAATATTTAAAATATTAAGACATTATAAATTTTACAAGATTGCTGTTTGGTCAACACTGAAAGCTTGAATTTTACCTTCTACTTATTTTTCCTCAATACTTGTTAGCCAAAACAGAAAACCTCTAAATTTCATATATTCTTTAAACAACCTACATTTAACATTCTTTCTTCACTTTTTGAATTCAAAATGTGATCAGAAAATTTTACCTCTTAATTTTCTATAATAGAATTCAACAGATAATGCATAAATCAACAAATAGCAATAGAATCATACTATTCAGTAACACTATTTTGGTAGCCATCAGAAGGTATAACTTAAAAAGTAAAAGAAAGTGGTTGCCTCTGGAAAGTAGTATTTGGACACAGGAAGTAGAATAGAAAGCTACTGTTTTTCCTTTAGGTTTTTTAGTAGTTGTTAGTTTTAAAAACCATCTCTAGGTATAATTTTCATTTTAAAAAACTTATAAGAAAATTACAAATTATACCTTTGTGTAAACCAGCTAAATTCCCTACAGCCTTCAGTAGCAAGTACATCAACTGCTTAGAATACAAAAGTGAACACAAGTTACAGGCCAGGTGCAGTGACTCATGCCTGTAATCCCAACACTTTGGGAGGTCAAGACAAGAGGGCTGCTTGAGCCCAGAAGTTCAAGACCAGCCTGGGTGACATAATTAGCCATCATCTCTGTTTGTTTTTTTTTTTTTTTTTTT